TAAGACATCATAGGATAAGTAAGGCATTGCACTGCTAACCGCGGGCCAGTGGTTCAAACCTACCATCAACTCCATGGGAAAAACATGAGTGTCTAGTAAAGATGTAGCTTCAGACACTGTAGGATCCCTGAGTCTATATTGACGCAATGGTAATGGGTTATCGGCTTCGGTTAAAAACAAATACACAAGAATCTAAAACTTTTAAACCATCTATAAGCCAGTGGAATACAGCAACAGAGTGAAAAATAAAAATAGATGCCAAAAGACAATGTTAGACCAGAACTAATAGATCAGTAGCTACAATAAATATAAATGGGTTAAACCTAAGATCAAAGTTTTCAAGATTTAATTTAAAACAAAATATGTTGTCTTCAAAGCACTCTTTTAAATATATGGAAAAGAACTAAAATTACAATAAGTCTACCAGAAATATGTGAACCGAAACTAAGCCAAGGCAGGAACTTAAATAAATGACAAGAATTTAATGCAAAAAGGGAAAACAAATGGTGTATATTTTTAAAAGGCAATATATCAAATCAGCCCATTGCCATCAAGATGAACTTTGTAGGATAGAGTAAAACTGCCCCATAGAGTTTCCAAGACTAATCTAGGGAAGCAGACACCCACATCTTTTTACCAATCAGTGGATGGTGGGTGTGAACCACTGACGTTTCTACTCGGAGCTAAGCACCTAACCACTGTACTATAAGGACTCCTCAAAGAAACAATAGAACAGAACAACGTAAGTCATAATAAATGTATATGTCACTTAACCATGCAATCTAAAATATAGATCCGTCAAAATAAAATTACAAGGAAATAAGCAAACCATAAAATGTAGTTGATTTTAATAAATTCCTGTGAGAAAGTAATAACAGATACAGAAAAGACCTAAATAACTACTAAATTTGATCTATTAAATTTCCATAGAATTTCACACTTGCATCAGAGACTATGTATTTTTTCCAAATACATAATGAAACATTTTTAGAAGTAGACTACAGATCAGGTCATAAAGAATCCTCAGTGTGTTCCTAGATCAAACCTGAATTGGAGTCCATTTCAATTCCTAGTAACCCTATAAGGCAAGGTGAAACTTGGGGTTTCAGAGCCTGTACATCATTGTGCATCTTTCTCCCCGGGAGCAGCTGCTGAGTCGGAAATGCCTACTTTAGGGTTAGCAGACCAATGGGACCCCTTGCAGTAAAATTAGGAATGGATCAGAATGGAAGAGGACTTCTACCAGGTAGAATGTGGCATACCATGATAGAATAACATTCTCACTACTAGAATTTTTTTTTAAGATAGATTGGAAAATGTTTTGGCGTGGGTTTTCTTTGCATTTTATTTTATTTCTTATTTTATTATTATTTTTTAATCATTTTACTGGGGGCTCGTACAACTCTTATCACAATCCATACATACATCAATTGTGTCAAGCACATTTATACATTTTTTGCCCTCATCCTCAAAACATTTGCTTTCCACTTGAGGCCTTGGTATCAGCTCCTCATTTTTTTCACCTCCCTCGCCGCTCTGCCCTCCTTCATGAACCCTTTATAATTTATAAATTATAATTATTTTGTCATAGCCTACACTGTCCAACGTCTCCCTTCACCCACTTTTCTGTTGTCTGTCCCCCAAGGAGGAGGTTATATGTAGATATTTCTAATCGATTCCCCCTTTCCACCCCACTTTCTCTCCACCCTCCCCG